GCGATTCGCATGGTATTGTGCTGCAAATGAGTTCCTGAGCAGTGATGCAACTTACAGAAAAGCTAAATATGTTCAATGTTACTGCCCTGGAACCAGTATACTTCCATCTCTGCATTCTCATTGGAAAGAGGGTAACATCCTTGTGGTAAGAAACTGCTTGGGATTGGAATAAAATGGAGAAACCCTCTAAGTTCTAAGCATTAAGCTCCTCTTACGTCTATACCACTCACACATCATGTAAAAGTAAAAAAAAGTATACCTCTGACATGTTTGTAAAGCCTCCTTCATTGTACCAATTCCCATTTGAATATCCTGTGGCTCAAATGTCATTGCTGCCTGCATAACCAAGATAGTGCTGTATCCAAGAGTATGGTACATGCTGTCTTTTGCCCTGTGGTGGGAAAGATTGCGGAGATTAAAACTATAAGCATAACATATATTGCATTATATTTTAGGAGCATTAGATGTTTGACGGGCACCCTTTAAGCAATACAGACAACTCAAAGTGTAACACAACTGACTTACCCAGATACTTGCACTATTCATTATACTAATGAACCCTGTGTTATTTACTCCTGACCACTGCACTATGCGTTACTTATGCCTGATCCCTTCACTGTGCATTATATACTAGCATTCGTAACCTCTGCGTTACTTACTCTTGACCTCTACATTCTGCGGTATATACTCCTTACCTCTGAACTCTTGTTACATTTTCCAGATCCTTGCACTGTGCATTATATACACCTGGCCTCTGCACTCTGCCTTACTCCTGCAATAGGCATTGCGGAGTCAAGAGGAATCCTAGGCTCCTCCTCAGCTCCAACATGACATATGACACAGTTGAGGGGAGACCTGCATCTGAGGTATGGCAAGTGAATTTTACAAAATGGATAGGGGAATTAATTCTGTGGACAAATTTAGCTGGCGGGGGTAGATGTTTTTACTGGAGTCTCAACTTTGCGTCACCTACTACCGACCCCTGCGGCACCTACTACCGACCCCTGCACTCTGCTGCACCTACTACCGACCCCTGCACTCTGCTGCACCTACTACCGACCCCTGCACTCTGCGTAATTTACTACTGAATCCTAAAGTCTTCACAATTTCCTTACTTTTCAATAAAGCCTTACAAGATTTTCTCTGGGGAAAAAATAAGAAGAATGCTGCACCCTGATGATCTTTGATCTCTTCCATGTTGTTCGGGTAGCTCTCATCTAACCAGGGTTTGCCTTCCCCCGCTCTTAACATTCACACTTACTCCTACCTCTGCAGCTACAAAAAAGGCTATATAGGGAGATAAAGGTGAAGGAAAGAGGAGTTTTGCCAGCATAGAGAATAAATTACACAATCCCAGAAGAGAAGGCTTTGAGGTGCAAGGAAGGAGGAACTGAGAGGGAATTAACTCTTCCTGAAGTAGTCACATTTTCTAGCAAGTTTAAAAGGCACAGGTGGTGACTGTGTCCCTTTAAAGCGAATCTATCAAACGCAATTGTGAAAAGCTTTATGCAGATGCTGCTATTCTCATACTATTGAGCTGCAAATGAGTTCCTGAGCAGTGATGCAACTTACAGAAAAGCTAAATATGTTCAATGTTACTGCCCTGGAACCAGTATACTTCCATCTCTGCATTCTCACACTGGCATTTTCCTTTATGGCATGTCTTTATAACCACAAAACGCAGGACCACCAACGTCACAATGAATGTAGCCACCCTCATGGGAAATAAAAGAATTATCATACCAAGGACGTAATAATTCCAGAGCTTCTGAAAATTTGTTGTTTAAAAATAAATTCAGAGCTAAAGTGCACTCTTCTAGTGCACATCGAAGGTCCATCTTGGAAGCCCTAAAAAGAATGAAAAAAACAAATTTAATTTAGTGAAGTGTAGTTTAACAAATCAAGCAACAATAACCGAGCCACAGCATGAGTGAGGAACTGATATAAATTGCCACCCTTCTGGTGCTAGAATTTGTACACAAGAGGCAACATAAAAAAAAAAAAAAAACCCAGAAACATGCAACTGTAGCCAAAAATGTGTTTCTAGCTTTGGATAGAATGGAGAGGGATTAGAACACCTGTCAGGTTTTTATTACTGTCTGCATTGGGGAAAATCACTGTCTTTGTCCTGTTGACAGTGAATCCACTGACCCCCAGGGATTTCACACACTTCTTGCTGTGGCTATCGGACAGGAAGTGCAGGAAATTTCCCCAATAAGACAAAGATGACAAAAAAAAAGCTGACGTGGGTTATAACCCTCCCCTACTTTATCCAACACAAATTAAAAGAATGTGGATTTCTGTTCTACTTTAAGACCATAAAGACTCAAATAAAATACAGAAACTGTTGACTAGGTCACTAAGGCAAGTAAAATATGCATCTGGTATATAATAGCTAAAGAATTAGAGGTGTCATGCAGCTGCTGGTTAGGGTATGCGCTGTTAAAGTAAGTACAGTTCCAAATATTTTTAGGACTTGTGATGTGCAGAATGTGACAGAGAAGGATAACTTTGCACAACTTTAATATAGCCTACAAAACCAAGCTGATACAGAAAGGATTAACTAGTTAAGGTGTACCTAAATGTTCGCAATGAAGCATCAGTACAAAAACTGCCAATGTACCAGGTTCCTAACAAAGCATTGGATAATGCACAACACATTATTTACGTGTACGGCACATTAGTGCAAACCTGCATGCCATGGGTTGTCAAAAATCAATATATTAAGATATCCATACATGTAAAGCCGGCAGGCTGAATGAGAGAAAATGACTAATCAGCATTGACAGAGGAATCTCCACTCCCAGCTATTTTATTCAAGACAGCCGTGGGACCTGTGGTTGCCTCAATACCCAAACAGTGCCACCATCTGACAGGATGCAGTCACCATTTGGCCGATAATGTTCCACCCAGCTCAGTGTAGTGTTGTGTAGTGTTGAGAGGGTTACCCATGGCTCACAATTCAACTGATTCAGTGGGCCACAATTTGAGCCTTGTATGGCTAGCTTTAGACAGCAATCTGCCCTAGGCGCACCTAAATCATAATGCCATTTGGTACAACTTCCAGTGTCATGTAAATTTTTGGGCAGAAAATATTGCTCGAATGCATACCAACACTAGAAAGAAAAAGTGGTTCATATTTCCTGGGCAGTAAGGCCTCATGCACATGGATGTCTAAGGATTCCTGCTGCAAGAACCCGAGGAATCCCAGGGGTGCCCATTCAGATGCAGCCACTGTGCCCATTCATGTTAATGACAGGGTGACAGCTGCCGCATCTGTCCATATGTAAACCGTACATGGTGCGATTACCTTCGGATTGGGGGGAGATGCTTTTCTTGGGATGCAAGCTCTCCATCATAGTACAAACATCTTTCCTGTTCTGCAGGCAATTGTACCATGTATGTTTACATGCAGACAGTAGTCATGGACAGTTGTGATGACTGTCACTCTGTCATTAACTTGAACATGTGCACATGGGATTACTGCCACAACAATCCACAGGTTTTTGTGGCAGGAATCCTCAGACACCCATGTGCATGGGGCCTGAAGTAGTTTTTGGCACCATTCAGCCTCTCCTGCACGCTCTTCCGCTACAATTCTCTTTTTGAATTTTACCATAATTGTCCAGAGGAGGCTAGTAGACATAACATGTACAAAAGTTATTACAATCCCTTATTCGCTTGATGCTTTGCGGATACTATACACTTGAGCTGCATCCTTTGGCTAACATGAATAGGAAGATGGCAAAGTGTGTGTGGCAAAGTGTGTGTGTGTGTGTGTATATATATATATATATATAATCTATATATAGATATAAAGAAAATAATGTATGTATATCAAATCACTCAACACGAATTTCCAGCACTGTAAGGGAACTATTGAGGGCTAACAGTTTACGGGCCTTATTCACATATGCTTCAGCTTTGAGCTGCTAGTCTGCAGGCCATGGGTACACAAAGCTTTGATGCCTGCAGTCTCCAGTCTCTTCTGAAGCTCGCAAGCAACTTCCTTTAAGTGACAGCATTAATGTACATGGAAACCCATTCAGTAAAATATCTTGAGGCTTGAGAAAGAGGCAGACAGCCTTGAAACGCATTGTCAAGATTACCAGAATCCGGAAATGAACACCTGGAATTCTTCACAGCCATGGGGAAGCCATGCTACTGACGTAGAAGTGCTGGGTTTATAGTTACCCTTCCACCTGCTGGTCAGGGCTGGATTAAGGACAATCACCTTTAACCTTTAAGGCCATCTATACCCAAAATTGCCGAGTGCATTTTATGCCTTTATTATAAATACAATATTATTATATTTGGTTGTGCCAAAGTACTGATCACAGCGCACCGTGCAGTGTTCTTTTTTTGTTAGAACATTATTGAAATGTCACAAGTGGTATTTCATTAAGTTCTATGGGCACAGCGGGGTGGGAGGCAGTTGTACTGCACGACCTACTTTTTTTCAGCGCACACCACCACGTTGTAGTGGTGTCAATGGGCGCCATCCGTGACAAAGCAAATTGCCCTGCCTTGCGTTGGGGCTGCGGTGAAAACAATGGACAACACAGCTTAACACAAATGGTGTGAATGGACCCTTACTGTTCCTAAGCAGTAGCCTGCAAAATGTACATGGTCTTGAATTGCTCTTGAAAAACAGCAGTGCCCTTTCTATGCCTAGACACTCCTGTGCTCACAGTCTCATAGCTGTATATCAGCAGTTTGAATCTATGACTGTTTCCTCTGATTGCTACTCTCAGGAGATTTGGAGTGAGATTTGGTGATGTCAATATTGTTCTGCTCACTATTTGCATTGCTGGAGACTCTGACACGAGGAAGCAAAGATCTGCTTCTAATAACTGGCTGCCTATACAGAGACAGTGCAGAACAAAGCATGGTAAGTCAGTAATAAGGAAAGCCCTCAGCCTGTCTTTTTTTTTTTTACACTCTTTTACAGGGTACTCATTTCTAAGGATTTTTATATTCATGACAGGGCCCTTTTAAGAAGTGACAGATGTATTTTATTTTTTAAATTTATTTAAACTGTAAATGTGAGTAAATAAATATACAACATTCAATAAAAATAAATAAAAATGTGTGCAGTAAATCCAACTGATACATGAATAATGTTAACAGCGAATTGAAAAATACATTTTTCACTATAGTCAAACACCACACAGGAATGAAATAATATATAGGTTATGCTTTTGTTATTTGAGCTTTTCATATGCCAATAAACCAGTCCACAATGTTGGCTCTCTGGATCTGACTACGTACGCTTATGGCCAAAGATGAAAGAACAAGCCATCTGTCGCCAGAGCAAAATATCGGTTTCTTTTAGATAGCAAGACGAGTCTATAATTCAGCAGGCATTAACATGCCAATGTTCCCTCAACATATTTTCATTTTTAGCTCATGGATACTCTGTCCCTGCCCATCACACACTGGTTACCAGCAGGAGCCATCAGCTATCATTGCACAAATCTGAATTGGTTTGCTGCATTTTTAATACTGTATGATGCATACCATTCATCCCTGTGGGGATCCCAAGTGAATGTGTTACAGGACCATCAGGGGATGGAAACATACCAATGAGCTTTATCTTTGTGCTATCATTTTCCACAATCCATGTCACAAAGAGAAACAAAGAACATACTTAGAAGGCCTTTTTTCAGAGTGCTGAATACAACTATTTGTCAGTTTTGTTCATACCAAGTCCATCATACAAAAGGAGGAAATAATTACATTATTTTCAGGAAGTATTACCACAAGACTTTAAAAGGTCACCTCAACCACAGTGAATCTTTGTTGCTAAAATTAGATTTCGTACTACTGTGCAACGCTGCACTGTAGAAAGTTGCCTTAAGTTTTAATCTAATAAAAATGCTTTAAAAAAATGCTTTAATAATGCTTATTCAAATCATTTATCCCAGCACATTTGTTTAAAATGTAAAGTCTTTCCAATTCCTGCTAGGAATTAAATTGTCATCAGTCTGAGATAGATAGAAGCATTTCTTCTACCGAATGATTAGATGGCAACATTATAACTTTGTAGTAAGTCACAAGGTCCTTATACTAGTTGCTTTTAAAATGCCTTGGGCTGCATCTACACCGGAACATAAGCATTGTTTGGTGCAGGCGTATTCAGGCTTGAGTGTTTTCATTTTAGATAATAGAAATCTAGAAATCTTCGCAATGCTTTATGAGGCAATAAATATGTGCAAGAAAGCAAAAACACAACTTGTTTCAGATTTCATGTGACTTCTCAAAGACCATTTATCAAATAATTTCTTGGTTCTGATTGACTTGATCAGCTGCTTAGTAATGGAGGTCAAATGGAGGCGATGATGTTTGCAGGCAATTAAAGATAAAAGCATTAGCATCATCTGTCCGAGGAGATCCCTGGAGGCAGCAAAGTGTCCTGTCTTCTCATCTGAACATGGTGTGCTGGTGATATCTTGAATTGGGACTTAATGTTGTCCACTTTTATGCTTTGGTCTGAATGCTGTATGGAGTGCACAGGATTTCTTGGCTTTATGAGCTCCCACATACAGACACAAATATCACAAACCTGACAGAGGTCTTACCCTTCTCCACTCTGTTTTAGGTGAAAGCTCTTCAGCTGGGTTCTAGTGCTTGAAGCCTTAAAATCATTTTTTATTTTTTTTGCAGAAGGTGGGCTTTAGTTTCTCATTTAGTGAATTCAGCAGCTCTTTATTTTACAATAATATCCCCAGATTTGATTAGGCTGCATCTCTTTAAAAATGAGCAGTCCTCATTAAGAGACCCAAGATGATCCTTAGAGCTAGACCAGGGGTAAGCAACCTTGGCTCTCCAGTTGTGCTGAAACTACA